ATGTTTTCGGCACCAAATCGCATATTTCCCGATAAAATATGGCAGATGGAAGTAAATAACGTCTACAAAGGTGATATTTCACAGTAATAAAGAAGTATTTGGTTCATAACTGGGTCGTATGGGGTAGTATTGGGTGGTATTGGGTGGTGTTGGGTAGTATTGGGTAGTATTGGGTAATTAGACGCGCCGTGCCTGAAGTATATAATTATCTGTATTACGCAATATTATCCAATACTTAAACATTCTTAACTTACGACTACTTTCCATTGGATATGTTCCTAATTCAAAATATATAATACAATTTGGAGTAGTTTTACGAACACCATGTAGATTTTTACAGAAACTTAAACGTAACTTTTCTATAGCTGCTGCCTTATGGATGTAACCTATTTGCGTTCATAGGAGGCACGGTAGTCTAGTGGTAGGACGCCGGGCTCGTAATCGAAGGGTTGCGGGTTCGAGTCACGGCACGGCACTGTGTTGTATCCTTGAGCAAGATACTTTACTCCGCTTGTTCCAGTCTACTCAGCTGTAAATGAGTACGTGGTTGGGCAGCGCTAGAATTGATGAATGCTAGCTGTTAGTGCCGAAATGACAGTTCCGGCTGTATGCTCCCCAGGGAGTTGAGAAAGATATTGGCTGGTTGCAAAGGCCCTATTACCACGGATAATAATTTGTGAACCGCTTTGAGACGACCTACAAACTAGGTTGTGATAAAGCGGTGTATCAGAACCTCGAATTATTATTAATAATTTATTAAAAGTGTCTGGTAGTGAGGTGACCATTACTGCCATGCTGTAGGTAAATGTTATAGAGTTCGGTAGTGAGGTGTCATATTGTGGATTAATGTCAAGGAGTTTGATAGTGAGATGACCATTATTGTTATACTGTAGGTAAATGTTATAGAGTTTGGTAGTGAGTGACCATTATGGTCATATTGTAGGTAAATGTTACAGAGGTTGGTAGTGAGATACCATTATTGTCATACTGTAGGTAAATATTATAGAGTTTCCTGTACATGCGTGACCACGTAACATC